GCATTTTCACTATACAATCAATAGAGCCCGGCCCTAATTCCAAAACCCCTGACCCAGGGGCCATAAAAATCACAATTTTCAAAGAGACACTCTTGTTCAACGTAATCATGTACTTGGTAATTTTATTTAATACACAGGAGCAGAGATAAAGATTTTTAAAGAATTAATGTATTTTCACTATATCATCAATAGAGCCCTACCCTAACTCCAGAACCCCCAAACCAGGGGCAATGACTTTCACAATTTTTAAAGAGACTTTCTTGCTCATCATAACTTTGCACTTGGTTAGTTTTTTAAATATCTCAGAGCAGAGAAGAAGATTTTCAAAGAATTTATGCATTTTCACTTTATAATCAATAAAGCCCTGTCCTAACACCACAACTGCTGAACCTGGAGCCATGAAATTCACAATTTTGGAAGAGGCATTCTTTGTCATCATAACTTTGTACTCAGTTTGTTTAATATCCATGAGCAGAGCTAACCAGGAGGAGATTTTCAAAGAAATAATGCAATTTCACTATATAACCTATATAGCCCCACCCTAGCACTAGAACCCCTACCCTGGGGCCATGAATTTCACGATTTTAGTAGAGGACTCAATACTGATTACAATCATGCCAACAGTTTGACTGCTTGATGTTCAGGATTTAAGAAGAAGATTTTTAAAGATTGCATAAATTCTAATGGGTTTGGCCCCATCCCTCAGGCCCCAGGGGGTGGGTGGGGGACAGTCTCCATGAATTTCACAATTTCTGTTCTCTTCATCCATAGATGCTATATGCCAAAATTGGTGGAAATTGGCTAAGTGGTTCCTGACGAACGCCGCAGGACAAAAAAAAGATAGAAATAGGTCACCTGTAGGATGAGAAGAATTATAAATGTATTTCAGATTTTTCACAGAATTTCTATTTTTAGTAATCAAGGCAACCATGAAACACCGTATATCAAAATAAAACTAGAACAGTCCAAACGGGACAAAATACCCCCCGCTGGGTTTTTCAGAAGTAAGTTCTTCCATAATAAAGATATGTATCAGTGACCTTGAACTTCCCCAAATGACCTTTGGTTAAGGTCATGACACACCCTTGGGTCATGGGCAATCTTTGAGTGAAATGAGAACCTACCAAGTTTATCCATAAGAAAGATATGGACCGGACACAAATTATGAAATTTTTCTACCAGTGACCTTGAACTTCTCCCAATGACCTTGGGTCAAGGTCATGACACACCATTGGGTCATGGGCAATCTTGGTGTGAAATGAGAACCTACTAAGTTTATCCATAAGAAAGATATGGACCGGACACGAATTATGAAATTTTTCTTCCAGTGACCTTGAACTTCCCCAAATGACCTTATGTCAAGGTCATGACACACCCTTGGGTCATGGGCAATCTTTGTGTGAAATGAAAATCTACCAAATTTATCCATAAGAAAGATATGGACGGGACAGGAATTTTTGAAATTTTTCTTCCAGTGACCTTGAACTTTCCCAAATGACCTTGGGTCAAGGTCATAACACATACTTGGGTCCTGGAAAATCTTTGTGTGAAATGAGAACCTACCAAGTTTATCCATAAAAGATATGTATCAAACATGATTTTTGAAATTTTTCTTCCAGTGACCTTGAACTTCCCCAAATGACCTTGGGTCAAGGTCATGACACACCCTTGGGTCATGGGCAATCTTTGTGTGAAATGAGAACATACCAAGTTTATCCATAAGAAAGATATGGACCGGACACGAATTATGAAGTTTTTCTTCCAGTGACCTTGAACTTCCCCAAATGGCCTTGGTTCAAGGTCATGACACACCCTTAGGTCATGAGCAATCTTAGTGTGGAGTAGTAGATTCTAATGTCCCTTTGTAAGAAAGATATGGACCGGACACAATTGCACAGACAGACGGACAAGGTGATTCCTATATACCCCCCTCAAACTTCGTTTGCGGGGGGTATAAAAATGTTAAACACAAACTTGTGTATCTTAGCCGGAATTAAAAATATCTTTGTTTCCCTAACCCGACCCTAAATTTTCAAGTTGGGTCGATAGGTAGGTAAACAATTTTATTTTCTGACAGCAGTTTTGAAAATACATTCTATAATTTAATGGAAAATTACCGTTTATAAATAAGAAAAGTACAAAAGAAAGCGATTTGTGAACAAAATGCTAAGTATCATTCATGTGCTGTTTAAAAGCAAAATCCATGATTAATTAATTCACAACTTTTATTTATTTTAACTTGTGAAACATCTCACGCCATTATATTTATATAAATAGAATAAAATAGACAAGATTTTCAAAAACGCAAACATACCAGACATACGAGTATATTTTTCAAACCTTCCATTAGTCTTCACAACTTATAGACAATCAATGTACTTTTTTGAGGGCCATGGGATTTGCAGTGGTTCTGGAGCATTTTGCTTTGGAGTTAAGAAGCAAGTGGCTGATTTCAAATCGCAGGTTCAAATCCCAATGAGTAACGTTGAAAACGGTCCATCGAGGGGACCATAAAAACTTATGTCCAGTGTCGCAGAAGATGCTGGCTCAAAAAAAGATCCCCCACTGCTTAATGGCAAAAAAGTGCTGAGTACGTATAAATTTGAAGTAATGGAGAAATGTTAAAATGTCGTCCTAAGAAATCTAGAAGGGATTAAAAGCAAAGAAACACCAATCTTCAAGGGCCTAATTAAAATACACTGGACATCTCAGGAAGCTGAATCATGATTTCAAAACTATTTGGAAAGAATATGTTAAAAATATTTAATTGAACCAAACCAAATCGACAACTGATAAAAATGTTATATACAATGTCATAGTCATGAAGTTTAACCACTAAATAAAGGCAAGAAGAAATTACATCTGAATTATCTTTATTAGGATGAAAATGAAGACATATTCACAACTCCCATGGTTCCATAATGAAATATAGTAAACAAAGAAACATAGAGGAAGTAGTTATTAGATCAAAACTCAAATTAAATATGAGTTGCGTCAAGCGAAAAGAGACCTTCGTGACCACATTTTCGAAAATCGACTTTTCATCGTTTCTGAAAGAGCTAGTTTTTCTGAATATATTGATACCAAACTTTTTATCATAAACCTTTTAAAGAACGAGTGCACTTATGGGCCCCGGTAAAATGTGAAAAAATAAACAATCAAATTAAGCAAATTTTTTCATCTCAAATCATGAATTGATATCTAAACCATACGATTCAACAAATTTTACCGCCGAAATCCACGAATATACAAAGAACAAAATATACAATGAGGTAGGGGTCAACCGACATTTGTGATTTTCTATAGTAAATCGAGAACGGTCACTCATTTCAAAGCTTTTGTTAACTATTAGCCTAACGTTGTGCAAACTTGTGCAAATGACAAAAGACATAATACATTTATAAAACTTGTGTGAAAGTATGAAATTTGCACACAATTAGGTTCGTACTTAAAATATTGAAAGTGTATAAAAAGTACAATTTTTTTCTATAGCAAGTGAGAGCTATTTACCTATATGACCCATGTTGAACCCACTTGTGGAATAAATTATTTAAAATACTGATATTCTACGTGAGTTCTACCCAGGTAAACATTCCTCTAAAACATATGCAGGTTTTGTTTCAGTAAGTCAAAGTCGTGCCGCTTAGAGATGTTTGTATGTATTTGTTTTTTAGAACACAGGAGGGTAAAGAGAGTTTAGTGCACATGTCGTTTCTTCATGCAAGACAATGAAACAGGTATTGAAAGCCACCTATAACACTCCTTTTTAATTTCAAATTCAATGAAACTATTATTGTAATTTTTCAAATGCAAGAGTATCAATTTCTTAGTTTCATTATTTTAGCTACAGGCAAGTACATAACTTCATTCAATATTTTTAAAAACAGGTTTGGCGCAAGAAATATCTTTCTGTTATTGCACCTGACTATGATCCACCATCAGATTGTTCAAGTGTCAATTTTTAAAGAGTCAAAATCAGCAAGCATCGAGCATTTAGTTAAAAATGTGGAAAGTGGCATAGAAACAGATTTGGTTAAAACTCATGCATAAATTTTCAGAACAAAGGGTATAATAGAAAAAAGCAAGCCAAAAATAATTTTTCGCATTGTTGCTATGGAAACCATGCGCCTATCAAATAGCGTATTTTGTACTTTATCATGACACTTGAATTTATGGTTAAACAAATATTTTTTTTTACTAGTCATTAATAAAAGCTTTTTAAATTATTATTCTATTTATCTAAAAATACTCTATTTTAACAACTGTTGATTATTGAAATTCTCTTCACCTTTTGATAAATAAAACTAGTTTTTGGAGGTTTATTTTGATTTTAAAAAACAGCAAATTTGCAGTACTCTATAAGAAATCTACAACCACATTAAAGCTTATCAACATAAAACATATATTAAACAGTATTTGTCCTAGAAGAATCAAGAAAAAAATCTGCAGGCAACTAAAGCATTTATATATGATACCTGATTTAAATCCATAATTTTCTGTCTTTTTTGCTTCAAATTACCTCCCTTTGGTATAGCTCTCTAACATAGGAGGAATAAACGGTAGTTTGCTTACCTTGTTTTCAATAACAATGTACAGAAGACTAGAAGAAAATTACAAACTTGGAGCAGTCTGAGCCTCAGTTTTGGCGTTTTCATGAGTCTTAATTACGGTTAGTGACTGAATTTTTTACAATTTACCATTACAACAGTTTCTGAAGAATGTATAACAAAAATTAACCATGCAGGAAAATATGTAACACTTGGCAAGTTTTTCTGCACATTTCAATTTAATTCTGATTGATTATATATGTTAGCATTACTTTAGTATTTTATAACTATCCCTGCGAAATGATCAAGAATAATTCTTGAACTTTTAAGAAAAGTTCATGAATTATATTCTTGTCCCGCATCTCAGATCTCCAGATTTCCGCATTATTCCGCATTTTTTCCTCATTTTAATATGGAAAAAATGTGGAAAAAAATACGGAGAGAATTAACAATACGGAAAAGCAGAAAATATATGGAAATAATCCGGAAAATAAACGGAAATAATACGGAGAATTGGACTTAGTCTATTTTTCATCTGGAAAAATATTGAACTCTTAACTTAGAATATTTTTCATCCGGAAAAAATACGGAGCTCTGGACTTAGAATTTTTTCATTAAAAACAAGATGTGTTTGTGAAACACAGTAGCACCCGGCGGCAACATTAAGTTCTAAAAAGCAATTTTTAGCAAATGGGTCTCAGTCAAGGTCACACAATCATTGTTCTTGGTGTCATTTGAAAGCACTTTATTAGTGTGGTATGCATACCAAATATTAAGTCTCTATCATCTATGGTTCAAAAGTTATGGCGAAATTCGAAAAAAACTATACTTAGCACATAGGTCACAGTCAAGGTAACAAGGTCATTGACCTTGGTGTCAGTTGAAGGTGCCTAATTAGTAGAGTATGCAAACCAAATATGAAGTCTCTATCTCTCACGGTTCAGAAGTTATGGCGAAAGTTCAAAAAAGCTATTTTTAGCATAAAGGTCACAGTCATGGTCACAAGGTCATTGACCTTGGTGTCAGTTGAAAGTGTCTAATTAGTGGAGTATGCATACCAAATATGAAGTCTCTGTTTCTCACGGTTCAGAACTTATGGCGAAGGTTAAAGTTGACAACAGACAGACAAACAGACAGACATACAGCAAAACAGACAGACAGGACAAAAACAATATGAGCCCCGAAAAAATTTGGGTGCATAAAAACTGTCTTGGAGTTAACAGCAGTTCTCTGTTTCTCCTGAATGTTATGTACAATTTGATCGGGATCGGAAGAATGTTTCAAAAAGTCGGGCTCAGTGATCAATTAATTTAAACAACAGACCGCCAAAATTTAACCTTGGCTTCCATGTTGCAACTTCTGCTCTGTCTAAAGGAGAAAGTTTGTTGACCAGACAGCCTGAGATCGTATTGCTGTATCAACCAAAAGATGCAGATACACATATTTCATATGCGGTAGGTCAGTCATATTTTTTTTAACGTGTGTCACTGTGATCAGGCGCGGATCCAGGATTTGGAGTTAGAGGGGGCGCCAAAATTAGGCAAGGGGTCTGGTGGCCGCCTTGAGGCCCCCAGTGGGTCCAGGGCAAAGCCCTGGTGGGGGCCCAGGGGGCGAAGCCCCCGGAAGCTCCTGGATTCTAGAGATTTTGAAGGGTAAAAATGAGGTCTACCAAAGCCCTGGTGAGGGCCCAGGGGGCGAAGCCCCCGGAAGCTCCTGGATTCTAGAGATTTTGAAGGGTGAAAATGAGGTCTACCAAGTAGACATATTTGATTTCCGCTAACTTTGACAATTTTAGGGGGGGCGCGCGCCGGGTGCGCCCCCCCTTAAATCCGCCACTGGTGATGATGAAAATAAATACTCTAGGCCTAGGACTGAGCTACCAGGCTACGTATTTCAGCCAATATGCCCATGATTCAAATCATTCAATCAGCTCATAGAATTTAATTATGGTTAACCACAATTAAAGGTGTTAATTTTGGGGAGTCATGGGCTGTAATCTCTAGCAATGATTTACCATACTTTTTTTTTTTTGGTAGCGTCGGTGCATGAGGAGGAGATTTCTGAAAAAGAATAAGTGGTTCTTCAACTTACTGCGATTTTAACAGACTTAAAGCTTGGTCCATGGATGGTTATGTTTGAGGTATATATATTCTTTTTTTCTTCTTTTTTATTGCTTGTTTAATTAAAAACAGTCAACTATGATTGTCATTATTATAAATATTATTTTAAACAAATTGATATAAAATTGAAGAACCCAAACTTGTGTTTATAAAAAGATTATAAAAGGACTAAAAGCAATGAATTTAAATTTTATTGATATTGCACCATTATAATTTAATTACTTTTTTTTAACTGATAGGATTTGCCAATTGAATATTCGACCGCAAGTGCTGCTGCAAGAAATTAAACATGCAGTGACCTTACAAATTACAAAGAAATCTGAAGAAAATTTTTATTGGACAGATGGTTGTAAAGCACAGACATGAGATATAAATCGAATTGTGAGAAATATGAATCAGGGATGCAGGTAGAAAATTGCAAATGTGATCCAGATTGATAAAAAATAAATGTCTAAAAAAATTTCTTGTTTTGTAAATATTCAATGCTATGTCAATTGTTATTTTTTCCCCAATATCTAATTGTGTTGAACATTTCACTCTCACTTTTGCTTAAATAGAATGAATAGATTTCCATTAATTAAATGTGAATATTAAAAAATGCCACATTTTTTCCATGATGAACTTGTGGCATAAATAAGAGTTCCAGTTTTTTCCATACATGCTCCTATTTGTTTGTCAAAGATACAAGATCCAATACATTGCTCATGAATATAATGTGTACTAATTTTTTTCATTCATTTATATTTTTTTTTCTCATAATGATTTAATAAATTGTATATAATTTTGCACATTGTTGATGGTTTTGTAAATATTTATGTATGTACATGTATTCATCATGTAGCGGTTTTAAGCCATTTTATTACCATGTGATTAGCTCCATATTTTCTCCAGATTTCCGTATTTCCGCATTTTATCAACCAAGTAAATACCTCCATATTTTGTATATATGGGAATGTGGAAATCTGGAGAGAATACGGAAAAAGAGTCCAAATACTCCCATCCACATTTTCTCCATATTTTGAATACGGAGAAAATCTGGAAATTTGAATCTACGAAAATCTGGAATGAATGCGGAAAATTAGTCCAAATACTCCCGTCTGCATTTTCTCCTTATTTTGAATATGGAAAAAATGTGGAGATCTGAGGTGCGGGGAATCAGCTCATGAATTGTTCATGAAGATCCCATGAAGTTAAAATTGGACACTCATGCCCCTGCGAAATGATATTCATGATTTTAAGAACCTTTATGAGTTGTTCATAATTGTTCATGAATGGTTCTTAAAGGATTCTTAACAGGTTCATAAAAGTTGTTCATGAATAAAATTCATGAAAACATTCATAATTAATAGTTCATGAACAAATGATGAACAAATATGAATATTGTTAATTTTCAGTTTAAAGAAAAAAACTTAATAGTTCAAGGTAATGAATGTTCATGAATTTTCATGAAGACAAAAAATGTAAAAATAATTGTCACAAACGATCACCAGAAAACACTGATTACTCCCATAATACAACTTTTGCATGCAGATGCAATTGTTGAACAAGACCCTGATTTAATTAATAACATGCTTTTGTTTTGATTTTGAAAGTATTGGATCAGAGACAAATAGGAGAACATAAGAGGTTAAAATCACTATTTTCTACTCTTCGAATCGGTAACTTAGATTCTTCAGGATAATAAAACTCTGTTATGTACTGTCTAGAAGGGAGATTGTAATTAAATTATGATCGTAATTTAAAGAACACTGCATCAATATTGACAGCATTTTTTTCTCATATTGAATTACTAATGTTTCTTCATCATTTAAAATGGCCAGCTATATTAATATTGTGCTTTAAATTATCTCATTTTTCACGACACAACTTTGTTCCACCGAATTTTCTCTATTTGTCAAACTTTTAACAAGTTGTAAGAAAATGAAACAGACTTACAGTCTAGGAAAAATTTCATAATCTTCGTAAAAACGTATCATATATTTATTGACAGCTAAAAAATCATATCTCTTGTCCGTACTATTCTTGGGTCAAACGCTTTATATTTTGATGCAGTTATCAAGTCGCTCATTTTTCTGTACATCGTGTGTAAATGATACAGCACAGGCTGCATGGTTGTGAAGTATCTATGACATGATCAACATTCGTATTTTGTAGTCTATTCTCCTATACACTTTCATAGCTCAGGGTATTCTGTTTGAGGGCGAGTGGTTCCCAAGATTTATTTGTTGTCTTCTTGATATGGAGGCGGCCATACTTGAAAATACGAAACTGTGGCTCTACAGGTATAATGTAAAAAATCCAATTCAATAAATGATATAACTTATATTAATTTTAAAAAAAATTAATTTCAGTGAAAAATAATTCAGATAGTGTTTGTTATTTTTTGTTTAACAACAATCTTGGCAATTCGAAACTATTTCTTAATTAGCTCTGCATGACACTTTTTAAAAGGCGCAAACTTTGAAACGCGCGAGACGTTGGAAAGTGAATCGGTAGAGTTGAAGGATTATTAGCGTATATCTAGTCATTCTTTGTCAACCTTTGAAGAAAATAACAGAATACGAAGAAGGAATATCCAGAGGATCAATTTACTTCATAACTGCAGATATTAATGGTGAGTTACAAAAAAAAGAGGCAATCGCTGAATCTGTGAGATATTTGTCAAGATGTTACTGTCTATTTGTAAGAGTTCAGTTATATTTTTTTTAATGATAATTTTGTCAAACTTTGTTATGAGTAAGGATCCAACCAAATTACGTAACATTTAATAATTAAAGATTGAAAAATTCATCCTGTTCACCTATAACATCTTGAACATGGCGGGCAAGGGAAACTGGCTAAACTACCGCTCGTAATGCTTTAAAATATGGCAGTGCCTATGATGCAGAATTAAATGAAACAAATATAAAAAAAAAAAAATTAAGTCTTAAGTTTTCACATTTATGAGCATTTTCAGAAAATCTTTGTTTCTGTAGGGAAAAGAGAAGAAGTTCACAGATAATGTTGATGAGTTGAGATCAGAAGATCAAAAAAACTCTGACTGCCAAAAAAAAAAATCCAGGATCTTGAAGAAAAACAAAAGAAAGGAATGAAAATATGAATCGTAATCGATCAAAGTATCCAAGTGATGAAGTTCTGAAAATTCCACAGGGAAAGCCAATAAGATTTTTTTTATTTGACCACCTCTTCTCAAAATCCTTGAAAGCCCTTTTAGCTGATGCCCTAATTGCTGAACACACTTTTCTGCCAGACAGTGAGACTTGGATTAAAAATCATTCCATTTTAGGCATACACTTTGAAATACGCTGAATAAGGAACCCACACTCCTCTTGACCAAGTAAGGTTAAGGATTCTGCAAAGAGTCGCGTTTGAATTAAATTTTTCATAATTTTACTAGGAATGAACTACATAATTTATTTTTTATCGATATCACTTATCAGAGTTGTTTACTTGAACAAAGATTTTGTTACCATGATTGGAAAACAAAAATTCTGTGAAATCTTTCAAGATGCTATTAAAATATTTTCTTTTACAGTTTTTCATTTTGCATAATTTATTACATTTTTGTTTACAAAAAGCAAGAACATTGATGAATAGTTCATGAACATTCCTAAATAACTTTTACAAATTATTCATGAATAGTTCATGAAAATGCATTGAACCTATTAATATCATTCATGAACTTTTCTTGAAAGTTCAAGAATATAATTCATGAAGTTTTCTTGAAAGTTCAAGAATTATTCTTAATCATTTTGCAGGCAATTAAAAAATCCAAGTTTGTTCATGAACAACAAATAATTCTTGAATATTCTTGAACTTGGTTTTCATGAATAAAATCCATGAAATCATGAGTGTCCAATTTTAACTTCATGGGATCTTCATGAACAATTCATGAGCTGATTCAAGAATATAATTCATGAACTTTTCTTAAAAGTTCAAGAATTATTCTTGATCATTTCGCAGGGGTGATTTCATGGATTTTATTCATGAAAACCAAGTTCAAGAATATTCAAGAATTATTTGTTGTTCATGAACAAACTTGGATTTTTTAATTGCCTGCAAAATGATCAAGAATAATTCTTGAACTTTCAAGAAAACTTCATGAATTATATTCTTGAACTTTCAAGAAAAGTTCATGAATGATATTAATAGGTTCAATGCATTTTCATGAACTATTCATGAATAATTTGTAAAAGTTATTTAGGAATGTTCATGAACTATTCATCAATGTTCTTGCTTTTTGTAAACAAAAATGTAATAAATTATGCAAAATGAAAAACTGTAAAAGAAAATATTTTAATAGCATCTTGAAAGATTTCACAGAATTTTTGTTTTCCAATCATGGTAACAAAATCTTTGTTCAAGTAAACAACTCTGATAAGTGATATCGATAAAAAATAAATTATGTAGTTCATTCCTAGTAAAATTATGAAAAATTTAATTCAAACGCGACTCTTTGCAGAATCCTTAACCTTACTTGGTCAAGAGGAGTGTGGGTTCCTTATTCAGCGTATTTCAAAGTGTATGCCTAAAATGGAATGATTTTTAATCCAAGTCTCACTGTCTGGCAGAAAAGTGTGTTCAGCAATTAGGGCATCAGCTAAAAGGGCTTTCAAGGATTTTGAGAAGAGGTGGTCAAATAAAAAAAATCTTATTGGCTTTCCCTGTGGAATTTTCAGAACTTCATCACTTGGATACTTTGATCGATTACGATTCATATTTTCATTCCTTTCTTTTGTTTTTCTTCAAGATCCTGGATTTTTTTTTTTTGGCAGTCAGAGTTTTTTTAATCTTCTGATCTCAACTCATCAACATTATCTGTGAACTTCTTCTCTTTTCCCTACAAGAACAAAGATTTTCTGAAAATGCTCATAAATGTGAAAACTTAAGACTTAATTTTTTGTTTTTTATATTTGTTTCATTTAATTCTGCATCATAGGCACTGCCATATTTTAAAGCATTACGAGCGGTAGTTTAGCCAGTTTCCCTTGCCCGCCATGTTCAAGATGTTATAGGTGAACAGGATGAATTTTTCAATCTTTAATTATTAAATGTTATGTAATTTGGTTGGATCCTTACTCATAACAAAGTTTGACAAAATTATCATTAAAAAAAATATAACTGAACTCTTACAAATAGACAGTAACATCTTGACAAATACCTCACAGATTCAGCGATTGCCTCTTTTTTTTGTAACTCACCATTAATATCTGCAGTTATGAAGTAAATTGATCCTCTGGATATTCCTTCTTCGTATTCTGTTATTTTCTTCAAAGGTTGACAAAGAATGACTAGATATACGCTAATAATCCTTCAACTCTACCGATTCACTTTCCAACGTCTCGCGCGTTTCAAAGTTTGCGCCTTTTAAAAAGTGTCATGCAGAGCTAATTAAGAAATAGTTTCGAATTGCCAAGATTGTTGTTAAACAAAAAATAACAAACACTATCTGAATTATTTTTCACTGAAATTAATTTTTTTTAAAATTAATATAAGTTATATCATTTATTGAATTGGATTTTTTACATTATACCTGTAGAGCCACAGTTTCGTATTTTCAAGTATGGCCGCCTCCATATCAAGAAGACAACAAATAAATCTTGGGAACCACTCGCCCTCAAACAGAATACCCTGAGCTATGAAAGTGTATAGGAGAATAGACTACAAAATACGAATGTTGATCATGTCATAGATACTTCACAACCATGCAGCCTGTGCTGTATCATTTACACACGATGTACAGAAAAATGAGCGACTTGATAACTGCATCAAAATATAAAGCGTTTGACCCAAGAATAGTACGGACAAGAGATATGATTTTTTAGCTGTCAATAAATATATGATACGTTTTTACGAAGATTATGAAATTTTTCCTAGACTGTAAGTCTGTTTCATTTTCTTACAACTTGTTAAAAGTTTGACAAATAGAGAAAATTCGGTGGAACAAAGTTGTGTCGTGAAAAATGAGATAATTTAAAGCACAATATTAATATAGCTGGCCATTTTAAATGATGAAGAAACATTAGTAATTCAATATGAGAAAAAAATGCTGTCAATATTGATGCAGTGTTCTTTAAATTACGATCATAATTTAATTACAATCTCCCTTCTAGACAGTACATAACAGAGTTTTATTATCCTGAAGAATCTAAGTTACCGATTCGAAGAGTAGAAAATAGTGATTTTAACCTCTTATGTTCTCCTATTTGTCTCTGATCCAATACTTTCAAAATCAAAACAAAAGCATGTTATTAATTAAATCAGGGTCTTGTTCAACAATTGCATCTGCATGCAAAAGTTGTATTATGGGAGTAATCAGTGTTTTCTGGTGATCGTTTGTGACAATTATTTTTACATTTTTTGTCTTCATGAAAATTCATGAACATTCATTACCTTGAACTATTAAGTTTTTTTCTTTAAACTGAAAATTAACAATATTCATATTTGTTCATCATTTGTTCATGAACTATTAATTATGAATGTTTTCATGAATTTTATTCATGAACAACTTTTATGAACCTGTTAAGAATCCTTTAAGAACCATTCATGAACAATTATGAACAACTCATAAAGGTTCTTAAAATCATGAATATCATTTCGCAGGGGTAAAAAGAAAAGATTATGCATGGCCTGAGGAACCAAGAGAAGGGGGTATGCCCCTTCCCCCCCCCCTTCCCGATAATATTGCCGATATTAAACTATAATATGATAAAATTAAATTCGCCAACTTAGATTGTTTCTGCGGGCCTAACGTGAAAAAGTTGGTCATGATCAGTTACATATTAACTGTATCCCAAATTATAAAGTTTAAATTGAATTTAGTTTAATTTTGATTTGTTGTATTCACAGCATGTGTGTAACCAAGTCACTCACCAGCTATAATGATTATAACTTGATTGATGGTCGGGTAAATACAAATTCTGTATATAGTAATAGATATCTTTATTTACCATTTAAAATAATACCTGCTTTTTACATAAAAAATTATGAAGTTATGAAAATCAACACTATTATGAAATTTCTTTATTTACCATTTAAGATACCTGCTTTTTACATAAAAAATTATGAATTTATGAAAATCAACACTATATGAAATATTTGTAAAATGAAATGACTTTTGTTATGGCGTCGTAAAAAAAGAAAAAGGGACAGGGAGTTAACTCTGTACTTAATATATTTTAGTTTAGGAAAGGGGATTACCTTGGAAGTATTGTGATACAGACAAGTATATAATGTAGTGGACTAGTGGTAACTGAATTGTATATATACCACAGTAAATAATAAATTAAAAAAAAAGATTTTTGCTGTTGTCATCCAGTGTTTACTTATGAAAGAAAATTCATATTCAGCTAACATTTTCACCGGTACCTGACTGAACTAATTTAAGTCAACTAGGTTCAAATAATAAGCATCATTAGAATTACAGCATATAAATTTTTGAAAAGAATTTCTATACTCTATTTTTTCTTGGGGGGGGGGGGGGGGAGGGGGTTATTGGAAATAAATGAAAACCACAATTTAGAGTTTTGACAAAACCTACAACCAATTGACCTTTTTATTACAAGTTTATGAATTTAAAGAATATCTAAAATCAATACCGTCTCAACTTTGTGTTGTATACTTCTGTTTTTAGAATGAAATTCGCCACTTTGAAGCCAAACTCGGAAAGAAGCAGAAACAGAATTGGATGAGCTGATATAGAATTAGACAGGAAAAACGTGTAAATAATACATTTAGTAAAAACGTTAACTTTTTAAAATAAAATGATAAACTAAATCATTGAGATCTCTTGGAATTTAATTGATTCCAATAAACATGCTTTGCATTCGTCATCATTGCTCAAGCTCAACTAGAAATGGTTCTTAGTAAGTATCTGAAGGCAAAGCTGTTTAATATTATTACATTTTAATTTTATCACTTTTTCAGATTATCATTATGAGAATACATCATTACAGTACAGACCATTGATGCTGGAAGTGAGTGGATAGTGTTACCGGAGACTCAGGGATCCAGAAAATAGATCCATAAATTGTACAGTGTATTCATGAAAGTGGATCAAATAAAAATGTTCAATCCAAAAGTAACATTCTTTGTCTGTTAGCATTTTTTTATTGATGTAAATCTAACAAGCTAATTCAGAGAATTTGTGTCCCCCGCTTAGGGAAAAAGTAAACCATGCGCATTTCGGGGCGGGGGTGGGGGGTAGGGGGTCGGATCCCCCTAATTGAATTTGTAGAATTTTTAAATGTATACATGTATACTGAAGCAAATAAAATATGTCAATATTGATATAATGATTTGATTATGTGTATAGAAGATTCTTTTTATGTGGATTATTTATCACAACGTAATGATGATTTAATGAGTTTGTACAAGCTAGACCTCATAATTTTTTTCATTTCACATGCTGAACACTATCATTTAGTTAAAAAAAGAATTTCGCATGTGAAGCGGGAGACATACCACTGTGCCACGGAACTGCTGTAAAATTTCGACAATTATATGCAAATATGAAGTCACATACATGTATATATTCACGTTTGATATCGTCAAAAATTTACACAAAACATGGTGTCTAATTCAACCTTTATTAAACAGTTCTGGTAGAAGTGATAGGAATATAAATTCTGCCGAGAACCTGTTTTATACGCAATAACTCTCCTCATGCCCCTGTGCTAAAAATAGCGACATGTAATACTATAAATACTAATAAAACAAACTGGACAGGGCACTTTGAGACAGGTCCTAGGAAGTTTTGGTATAAAATACATTGCATAAGCTCAAAATCTTCTTGAAATATCGCCCGGAAATGATAGTGTTATACACAGAGAGAATGTATAAATTTACGACCTTTAACTTTGACCTTTTGACCTCAAAATCAATAGGGGTCTTCTTTAGGCCACAAGGAGTTGTTATGTAAAATTTCATTGCAATAGTTCAAATGGTTCTAGAGATACTTTGTGGAAAGGAAAGTGTTATAACAGACAGAATTTGTTTATTTATGACCTTGACCTTTGACTTTTTGACCACAAAATCAATAGAGTTCTTCTTTAGTCCATAGGGAGTAACTGTTGCTATGCTAAATTTCATTGCAAAAGCTCAGAGGGTTCTCGAGATATCGTGTGCAAACAAAAGCGTTCCAGACAGACAGAAAGACAGCTAGATGGAAGGACAAACGGACAAACTCAGGAGGGGGGGGTGTGTGTGGTTAAACATTAGGGTACGTTGAGAAAAAAGCTGGGTGGGGGATGTCATCCCCCCTACCCAACCCAAACCTGATGCTACATGCCTGATTGACATGGTTTTACTTTATAATTATGTGAGCGGTCATAGTAACTCTCTTTCATAAACAAGAATTATTGTGAGCAAGCTAATAAAATGATACCAACCCTCCTGCTATTGCATTAAATGTTTTTTATTACAAAAAGGTCTAAATACCAATTTGAAACCTTTTAAAATTTTACTAGTGCAGATATACATACCAAAAATGACTATGACAAATACTCAAGTCATAGGTAGTAAAACCAATGTGTTGAGCACAAACTTCCAATTTCCCTTCATTCGAAGTTAAATATGTAAATGTGCCAAACTCATATAGTACACTTTTACTGCAGTGACCTTGAAAAAGATATGTCCTTGAGTCAAGGGCAAACATGTTCAAATGAATTTTGGTCAAGGTAATGACAAACCTACAGCTTAAAAATAATTCCCAAGATGAAACCAAGTCTTTTCATTACAATGTTACAGAACGGGCAAAGGTTGCACTTTTCTTCTACCAATGACCTTGAACTTGTTCAAATGACCTTGAGTCAAGTTTTTGACACATCTCTTGATCGCAACCAATCTTAATATCAAGTATGAACTTTCAGTGGCACTTCATTGAAATGTTATGGACAAGTCAAAATTTTACATACATATGGATCAGTGAACAAGGTGATTCCTACCCCCCCCCTCCTTTTTCTAAGTTTCGTTTGTGAGGAATATAAAATTCCTTTTGAAATTGAATGTGCATTTATTTATTAACAATAGTAAAGTTATGAGTATGCTTTGATCAGAACCAATATGGCCAATATAATGGACACTGAACATGTATTCAAATTACCCCCACCCCTTCAAAAAAGCTTATAAATGCCAGATTTTCACACATTTTAACCATTTGTAACTTTTTTCTGCTAAAGTTGCCTGCAAATTTTATTGTAAAGATATGACATATAGATAACCCCTAACAAGATCATACCATTCATTTTTCCAGCAGTGGTTGTAGATTTTGTGAATAAAGTGATAAACATATGTAACTTTTTTCAAAATTATATTAAGCATTGATGCAATGTTCTTTTCCCGTTGTCATGGCAACAATCAGGCGCGTAGCCAGCATGGAAATGAAGTGTACGCAGAAAACGGTCAGGGGTCTCGGGGCCGCCTTGACCCCCCCAGTGGGTCCAGGACGAAGCCCTGGTGGGGGCCCAGGGGGCGAAGCCCCCGGAAGCTCCTGGATTTTACGAAATGTTTCAGTCATTTTCTTGCAAAAGAAATGACGATAATCACTTTTCTTGAGCAAACACTTAGCTAAGTTATACTGCTTCCATCGATACTTAGGGAAGAGAACGATAATTTATCAAATAAAGTTACGCATATATTGTTATTGGAAAAAAGTTTCCAAGTGTATCAAGAAAAAAAAAGTAGCAATTGCAATATCGTTATCATTGGAGTTTAAATATTTCAAAATATAAACGGGGTTGCTGTGTTTTGATTACCTTCATATTTGATAGCTGAAACGATTCCGAGAATGTTTCAATTATAAAATAATTCTTTAAATTGGTAACATCATTAAAAGAATTTTTAGCTATATTATTATTTACTTTGTTCACCATACTTTAATTGTTTAACGACATTTATTCATCACCTTTACGGAAATTAAAAATCTTGTATAGTCGTCCAAGACCTTTGTAACTTTTTCTTTCGATCAAAGTCCCTTGGATCGCTTTCCTTCATCAAATATTTGTCCGGATAATCAGGATTACGCGGATTAACAGTTGAACATTTTGGTTCAACAATATTTTTTTCCTCAAGAATGTTGAAATATGATTTTGGAATTGATTTCATAAAGGACTAAATTTGAATGAGACATGCTGAACAAAATTTGAATCGAAAGTCAAACAATAAGACGCAAAATAATTTGAAACACAGGTGGTTTCTCTTTTTCCCCAAATAAATTTCTCTCTTTCTTTTTTCCTTCTTTTTTATCTCTCTTTCTTTCTTTTTTTTTTTGGAAAATGATGTGTACGCACTTGCGTACTTGCGTATAGGCAGCTACGCGCCTGACAATATCACTACAGAAATTTTGTTTTTACTATTTTTGGAGAATAAAGTAATTCCATCTTTTAACAAACAAGGGCACCGCTAAGCGGAGCATCCCCTCGCGGCAGGAACATCTCTGGGAATGGCAATATCTCATGAGAGATAAATTCTCTAGAGGGATGTTAAACATGTTGAAGATTGATAGTACAACGTATCTTGTTTAATGTCCCTCTCATGAATATTTTGCTCATATTATGAAAGCTTGCCCGTGAAGAGCTGCCCATTTTTTTCTCATACTATGCACTGACGGCCATTGAGCAGTGAGGGATCCTTTTGTACCAGCATCTATTGGGACATTTGCCCTTGGTTTACACGGTCTCATTCGAAGGACCAGTCTTCACGTCCTCCAGTGGGATTCAAACCCGCAAGATTTGGATCAACTCCCTTACTTTTGAAAAAATAATAAGTGGAGTGTTTTTGTTGATCCAATTTTTTTTTACAAAATGCAAAGTACAACGCGTCTTGGTTGGGGGGGGGGGGATAACATTGATGCCTAATTTGGGGTAGTAAAGTTTAATAAAAGGTATTAAATTTTTTTTAAGCTCTATTTATTTATTTAACAAAATTATAGGGGGTGGGGGTGTCTATTTTTAACATAAAATCAAATTGCAAAGCATTTAAGTTGGGAGGGGTGGGGGTCATAATATGCATACGTAATTGGGCAGTTTCCCTTATACCTAGTAGAAACATATCACTTATGCTACATGTACAAGTCTCAGTAATTTTAATTATTTACCAACCTAATTAGTATATTTCACAGTTCCAGGCAATACGCATTTTTTTCGTAATGAAAAATAACATTGTACATCGAGAGTTTATTTGAAATTGTGGCATAGACGTCGGAACCGGGTTGGGGTGGGGTTGGGGGGTGGGTCTTAGCCTCCCACTTTTTTTTTTTTTTTTTACAATTTTGACAATTTCTATGCATTGAAAATTGGGGTTTACTTTTTATGTTGGTTTAGCCCCCCCCCCACTCACACACTTTCAATTTAACGTGCATCCCAAATTCGCAGACACCTGGTGGAGTTTGGTAGTGAAACCGCGACGTTCATCAAATTCTATTAATCTGGTTCCTACAGACTCGACACGGTTTTTAAACTGGTTCCCTAGCGGAAATGATTGTTAACTCGTACATAAAATGTCAGGGTTTCGAGACAGTGTAAATGCGATATCTAAAGAAATATTTCATCAATGAACTTAAAAATTAATAGGCTTCTTCCTTTTATACTGCCACACAAGTATGTAAACGCTGAGAGTGGTTGTTGCAAAGGTTTTCTGTCAATCTTGCCCACAAATGATTATTGTCAACTTGTACATAAAATGTCAGTGTTTCGAGGCAGTAAAAACGCGATATCTGAAGAAATATTTCATCAACGGACTTGAAAATTAATAGGCTTCGTCCTTTTATACTGCCACACAAGTATGTAAACGCTGAGAAAGGTTAATGCAATGGTCCTCTGTCAATCTTGCCCACAAGGTAACGAACACACTAACACACTAACACACACACACACATACATACGCACATTCGCGATGCTATATCCCCTCCGCAACTAGTTGCGCGAGGGGATAATAAAGTAACCAAAATACCTTATCTTATCACGTTCAGAAAACATATTCGTAGAAAAATGTCTAAAAATCATTGATTTTCATAAGGATTTATGAACCCGTTGCTTAGAGGAAATGAATTTCCTTGGATACCAGTCCCTTCATACGTTCGAAAAAAAAATTTAATTGTGTTTTAGCATTAGGTAAGACAAAATCTTTCATATACCAAAAGCTTTTGAAAAAATAAAATTTTGACTTTCCATTCAATGCTCGATGCTTGCTGATTTTGACTCTTAAATATCTATTACCCTTGATTTACATAAACGAAACTAAAAGAAGGTTTTGTACTACTTTTCCAGATTTATAGGTTATCCACTGGCATTTAAGGTCTTCAATCCCTAATAGAAAGAAATTCAATGAAATTTAAAGCATAACAGATATGTAGGCATTGAATACTCAGTTTATTTAGACATACTTCCCATTTATTACTATAAGTATGTATAGTGGGATGTGTCCTAGTTTATGACCTTGAATTTTGGTAAGAGTTATCTCCCCTTTTTTGATTAATTAAAAAAAAAATCAATTAAAAAAAATTTAGTTGGTAAAGAAATTGTTTTCAATTATTATTCTATTTCTTATATTTCAATGCATCTTTCCACCACAGGATTTATTGATATTCATATTATTTGAATTTTTATTTTGAAAAAACACTTTTCCCCATAGACTTCAATGCAACCTTTGTTAATTAACTACTGCTTAATTAATGAACTTTTTGAAAATTTCTCGTGGGCAATCCTTTTCCACTATAAAATGCTTAATATAATATCAGAGTATTGTGTACTTGACGGACATTTAAGGGTAGAGAATTTGGTTCCATTAGGGATTGAAATCCTTAAAAATATTCAATTGTTTCAAATCCATGCTGATTTTAAGTGGTGCATAACATGCTTTTTAATTCGAAATATCTACAAGTATCTAACTATTACCAATACAGAACGATTGGGTAATATATTCTGAAGTAAAATGGCACATAAAAAGGGCCCATTAAGTATTGCTTAAGTGCACTTGTCCTTCTTATTAAAACTCCAAATTAAAACAATGCTGTGCTACATGTAACAAGATAAAGCTGTAAAACGTTGAATAATGTCACATAACGTCACTGATAATTGGAACGTCATTTTACTTAATTACCCTATTGAATTAGTTACTTGCTTTTTTTTCTAGTTGTATTTTAAAGTTTTATTTAAATATATACCTCTCCAAATATTAGCATTTTTATGATCGTATACATCATAAACTAGATGCTGTCATGAGACAGTAATACCCGCACTAATGTGTTTGCCTCTAAATACACACCCGTACATATTGGGCTTTCCAAGGAAAAGTCTATAATTTACACAGTACATGTATTTGTCACATAGAGTATAACATTCTCAGACCCTGTGACTTATGACTCAGTATTTTATATACTTCATAGGCATCGGAAGGAAATTAAAAGTGGGGGGGGGGGATAATTGAAAGGGGAGGGGGGGGGCTAAACCAACAAGAAAGGTAAACCCCAATGTTCAATACATAGAAAATGTCTATTTTTGCAAAAAAAAGGGGGGGGCGGTTAAGAGCCCCCCTACCCCCCAGCTCTGATGCCTATGTGCTTGAAAAAACAGAATCTAATTAATGGTGTGAATTCAATTTTAAAAAATGTTTTGCTCATAATTGGAACCTTTTTAAATTTAATAATGCCCCCCCCCCCCCCCCCAACACCACACACATACGCACCCTCGATCTCACAAAACGTACGTTTTTTTTTTTTTTAAATAGGCTATACATGTAGATGGAAAAGTCATGTTAAAACATAGTTTTTTATAAATTAATTTATAAAATTTGTTCTTGAACTTTACATGTTTACATGTAAACACCTTTTGGAAACATTTCTTATTACATTGGGTTGCGTCATCCATAACATATTTTTAGATTAAGCATCACTCGCCACACCTCGGCTGATTCGTACTGAACGGAATCATCCAAGGTTTACATAGCATGCACATGGTGCAGATGTGCATGGGAAATATTCATTCTGTGTAATAATTGGATTATATTTCATGAAGTTGACAAGACCTATGACAGTCGGTAAGTACAAGTTTAAGTATAGATTGGGGTAAAATAAACCGAAAGATTAGGTTAAAGTTCAAAGATCATCGCATGCTACAGTAGTCAAATTTCACATTGTGAAGTTATCTCCCGTTGTCCATGTGACATTCAGTTACTGGTGCAGATCCAGATTTTTTTTCAGGAGCGGGAGGGGGGTTCACAACTCAGTCATAAAAATGCTAGCCAAGAATTTCCTCACAAGCAAAGAAAAGAAATGAAAACAAAATAAAATCAATGATAGTGGTGTCGTGGGGTCAATGTTTTATAAGGGGGATAATGTCCAAAGTCATTTTTTTATTTGCTTCAGTATATAGTCTCATTTGAATAACAAAGCAAATTCCAGGGGGGGGGGGGGTCCACTCTCCCTAGCCACTCCCTGTCCCTGAAATTATAATTGATCTTGTGATTCCAAAACAGATTTTTTCCCCATTTGACGATATACAAATTTTGCTTCTTGTATTAATTAATAATGTCTGTCTGTTTGTCTGAAGAAATTTGATCAGTAATTTAGCTTAAATTTTTCTAGGGCTTTCATGCTTAACATGTGTATTCATTGTGAACTTTTAACAGCTATATATATGTTTGACCTTGACCCTACAGTTTGACCCACTTAAAAAAAAACTTTAACCTTGGCAATTAACTTTTGAACAGGAAGTGCCAGGGATTTCTTATTTCACATGTGTATTCCTTGTGACAAGACTTTGACACCAACAATTTTAACCCTTTGACCTTGACATTAAAGTTTGCCATACATTTGAGAAACTTCAACCTTCACCATAAGCTGCCATACATGGGCATCAGTGTTAAACAAACACATCTTGTCTTAATATATGAATATATATATATATATATTAATATAAACTAGAGGTACTGTGAGCGATGAGCTCACTAAATGATACCCCCCGCCTCCATATACTAGTAGTTTTAATGGCAAAGTCCATGTTTTGCTATGGCCGGAAAACCCAAAATATGTGTCGGATCAAAAAGTAAAATAGGAGGTGCACAATGGCAATATGTAATAAAGATTCTGTGAAAGTTTCATCAAATTTCATTCAGTGGTATGAGAGGAGTTGCGGATAAGAGATGGGTACCCTAAAGCGTAACAGACGGACGGACGGACGGACGGACGGACAGACTAGCTGTTCTTACGAGAGGTACATTGTGGGGTAAAATTAACGTATTTTCCAGCAGTGTGGGGTTTTTTGGGTACTGTGGGGTTAACCCCATAATGAAGAGGTCTAATTACGTTCAAAATTACTCTATGAGGTCGAAAAACCTAAAATTAGATTTAACCTCACAAAGACTTTGTCCAAATTTTGGACATGTCCTTAGCCCAAAACGCTCAGACATTCAGAAATCTGCTGTTTAGAGGAGTTCGGTAATTGAATCGAGGAGTTCCGAATACCTGAGCATGCGCATATATTTAAAACTAACTGCGCATGCGCAGAATACGGAAGTAGCTGTGTTTGGACATTTTGTATTAGCAGTGAGGAAATTCGGAAACACAAAAAGCAAATGCAGTAAGTCTTACTATTTTGTTGCACCACATTGAAAAAAAGCTTTGTAAGTTGTTTGATATGATTCATACGTACATTATGCAGTTGTAGAATTTATTTAAAGTCAAGGAAAGGACACTTGTAGTCCACATAAACACACACCGATTGAAAACGGGCTTTTGTGAAAAAAAATATAATGAATGCACTGATAGTTCTTTTTTTAATCAGAGGTCTGCAATGAAAATCGACCGATACCCGGGGGTCGGGCTAGTGGTTTTCTGCAAGAGGGTCGCCCCGTTGGCCAGTAAAAAAAGATAATATTATTTATACACGTGCAATACATGCAAAGCACACCTGGTACGTATTTTCACTCGTTTTTTGCAACAAAAGTCCAAACCATTTAAATTTTTCATATAACATGCTCCAACTGTCAATAAATCTCCATAATTTAATCCGTGTTGGAGTACTACTTGGCTTATTTACTTCAAAAAACGATCGTGTTTTTTTCTTAATTCGAATTTTCTCTATATCTATGGTAATTACATGCAGATATCTCATAACATAAATACATGTGATTCTTCCAATGGGAGACAAAATCTCTGGATTTTTCACGCCTCTTCCGCCCCTTCCGATTAATTTTTAAATCATCCGTGTTTAAATTTTTTTCAAATTGAATATTTTTGGCTTTAATTTTATCCTGTTTTGTAGTATAATTGCGCTCTCTCTCTCTCTCTCTCTCTCTCTCTCTCTCTCTCTCTCAATTCATTCTAGATACGTACCAATTGTTTATCTACTCTTCACACATTTGTTTACATGTACTTGTAATCGTACCTTAATCTATAGAGAAAAAATCAGAATGGAAAAATGGAATTAATGTCACTGCAATAAATTTTCGCAGCAAGTAGGAATCGTAGGAATCAACATGGGGTTGTATGATTAGGTTGTAAAATTTAGTGGTATATCAATTTGATAAATGACAATCAATGTTTATAAATGAGTGTAGGACATTTTAATCAGTTGTTAAAATACCCAATATGTCACATTGCTTACACAGTCGCTTGTGTAATTATGTGCCGGATAAAAAAATTCACCTATTAAAGAAATTAAACAAATTACCTTTAGATACGTATATATAACTCTCTTTGTGTTAATGGAAAAAATATAATTGTCCTGTAAGATCAATTTGTACTTATTTTTCAAGATCGACCATTGAAAATTTAAAAGAATTAAATCACAATTAATAGTTTTTCTATAGCTAAACTTAAAGAAATTCAAGCTTAAAGCTTCATTTTGTAATTTACATTGTACAATATTAATTCATCATTACTTTGAAAATTTACAGTGAGAGTATGTAACTTAGCTAATACAGGTCTATCAGTATTTTCACACCTGTTAGATTTTGATTCCGTGTAGAAGCTCTAATTGCAACTCTTGTCAAAACAAATGATTCGTATAGCATGATTATCTCGTGAATTTCACCATCAGGAGACGATCGATAGGGATTAGTTACGCTCTACTGCACTTGACACCTGTGTTGTAGTAGAATGATTTTAAACTGCGTTAATACAAATCTTTGGTCAATTGAATAATTTTTTGTGTGTGTCTGTATGTTAGATAGAAATTCTGACAGCTTTATAAAAATAATATTAAAAATTTACCAGACTTTAAAAACTTCAGCAAAGTAGTTGATCGAGGATTAATTGAAGGGGGGGGGGGGGGGTTACACTGCTGATCATTACCTGAACATATTATAGTGAAGTTTTTAAATGAATTTTATTGACACTTACTGAAATAAATTTTTATACTTTATTTAATTCACCATTAAACTGTCTTTTAATTAAAGCTTTTATATTTTTTCTTATTAAAAAAAATAGATAGTAGTAAGGCACATGTATTTCTTCTTGAATGATTTGAATGTTACAAAAGAACACTAAGAGTTCCCGAAACTAGTCAAAAATATGTCGGACAATTGTCTTGTAAATATTCAAAATTCACCGGACAGTTGTAAAATTTACCGGACATTAATTTTTTGTATGTAAATTTAACATATTATAGGATTGGAAATTGTAACGATATAATAAATGTTATGTGTAAATAATTTAATTCTGTGTGTATTCTTGTCTCTCATTGGTTGATTTCCAAAAAGGAACGCATAACATTTTGTATAATCTGGTTTGGTATGGGGACACACCCCCTTGACAACCAGCTGAATCATCTGTATCCATCAATCCCCTCATTTCCAGTCCTTCGGATTCATGAAAAATTCCAGATTTTAATGAATGTACCTTTAACTTGAAACAGTTGCTCGATCTTACCTCATGTAAACAAGCATCATGGCTGCTATATCTATGTATCAGTTTTTACCTCCCCTTGCTTCCCATCACTTCCGTTACTACGGTTGTATTATTGCGCGGTAAATTTGAACTAATAAAAACAACACAATTTTACATCCCCAGTTGTTTAATTATTTTAAAATTAAATTATAAGGAATGACTCTAATTCTTGGCCAGATTATCGAGTATAATATGGTTTGGGTCAGTTTACGCTTTTTTATAATCCGCTTTGCGGATTATAAAGCATAAACTGACCCAAACCATATTATACTTGATAATTTGGCCAAGAATTAGAGTCATTCCTTAAATAAAAAGATGGCAGATTTAAAAAAAAAAATTATTGAAATATTTTGTATATGGCCTTTGTATGCAGGATTTGACGTTGCCGAAGGCGTGTGATGACCAACGCTTAATTCATGTATAAATTTATTATGTCCTTTCTGACAGATTTTTAAAATGTTTTTAAAAATAAAATCTGCAACATGACAACTCTTGGTTGATTGTTTGGAAAATATGTTGTTTTCCAGGCTTTTTTCTTTTGGATTTTTGTATTTTATGTGCCAGGAAAAATATTACGTTAAATATCAAACTCGTTTTAAAAAGCCTGGTAAAACGTCCGATATTTCTGACTAGTTAAAATTTATTATACAACCTCCATACAGTTAAAAATATGTACTAATGATATAAAGATATGCAAATTTATCATGAAAATGATGATTTTAAGTGAATTTGTTGTCGTTTTACTACATTCAAGTCAATCCGCTATTTTTAGAAAAGGGGAAAAACGCGCTTGTATTTTAAATGCTATCAAATACATTAAAAAAATCCAGAAGTTGGTATAATATTATCATGCTAATAGATTAAATTATAGAGAAAATAATAAATGGTAACAAATTGTCTGTAATCAAGCAGAAATAGCAGGCACTCTTGCAACCCTGCAAATTCGTCCTTCAAAACGAAAGTAGATTGTCACATTTTTTTTACTGTCAGAACTACAGAGTGCATATATTTATCATGGAAAATATTTGTTGACAGGGTTTTTAAAACTGTTTTTCCTCCCAGACTTATGGAAATTATTATTTTAATATGTAGCTTTTTATATTAGACAATCAACGTATACATTTTATTTAAACAAGATCTGGCGATGCCCTGAAGTTTTTTTTTTGTTTTTTTTCATTCCTTTAGTTTTGCATTTGTTTATTGTCAGGACAATTGAATTAAATGATTTTGTTAAGATTATATGTAAAGGTTATACAGTCTGTAAAAAAAAAAAAACCATCGGACATTTTGACCAATAAAATTAAGATTTTACCGGTCCCATTCAAAGTTCACCGGGGATCCCCGGTGGACCGGTGCGTTTCTGGAACTCTGAACACTTATGAACAAAACCTTAAAAATTTAATTTGGAATTCTTTAATTTCATATTTTTTAAATAGGCATGGATTAATATATATATACACACATACAAAGGTTTTGTGAAATTGACATGTTTAATTAAATCAACTGTAGTGGTTATTGCTGTTTATTTATTGACTGACTGGCTACTTCTTGGGCAAACTGGAATAAGAGGCCACCTGTCTTAAGTGGCTAGTTTCTGGACTTCCCAAAGCTTAAAACAAGTTTGACTGTACTTTTTCACCTTTTACCAATATAAGAAAGTAGTTCACAGTACATGACAACTATGCTTTAAATAAATTTCGATGAATTTTAATTAGTAACTCGGAATTTTTGTATGTGATATAAATAAACATTTGCTTCTGTATTCCTTTGTAGAGTTCAGATACTGAAAGTGAACATCAGTGGAACTTTGATGATCTAGGCCGCTCTATTTTTGCAGCAACACCAGCATGCGTCGGACATTCATAAAGTTGAAAGAACAAACCTATGACTTGAACACACAATTTGTGATCTGAATATAGTTCACAAATTTAAGGAAAGCAACTATCAAAGACATCCAGATTGATGGTTAGTACATGTTATAAGTGCCCATAAAATCAAGACAACAATATTATTTTACAATAAATTAAAACATAACCTGTTAAAAAAAAAATTGAACATTATCATTTATAAATATATTTTACTGTATTTTTTTTTGACAGGTATACATGAAGTATGAATGAAAGACTTTTCAGAAGAACAAGCGCAATCCCGATTCATTCTTGCCATTGTCTTCTCCAGACGGTGACATTTAGGACCTGACTTACTTTTCAGAAAAAGAAGATGAATCGATTTTTGATAGTTGATCTTAAAAAGATAACATTTTCAGGGGTCGTGGATTGAATGACATTTTCTTGCAATCTCCCATGCAGAGTTGTCGTTCGTTCCTCTCTCAGACACCTCTGCAATGGGCTCACGTCAAGATTTTTGACATAACGTGTAAAACTTGATATTTGAAGAATTGTTTCAATTCAAATCAATAGTTCTGGATTGATTTAGTAAATATCTATCTAAAAATTCAGACATAAACATAGAAATTGAATTGTAATGAATTAAAACAAACGCACTATTTCTCGTGTTTAAAACTGTGTATACGCGAGCCAACGACAGAGGTGAATGTATGAGCCGATGGTAGAGAGTGATTTTCTTGATGGGCAACTAGTTTCAAGTATTTGGATGTCTATTCTCAAGTTACTGCAAACCTTAAATTAACTTCTTGATTATTAGTTAAATGTGAGACCGTTTCTTACTTGAAGTAATCATTTTTTGAATTGAGCTATGTAATCTCTGATTACTTATGTTTATGAGTAGTGTTCAGCTTTAAGACAAAAGGATCTTTTATGAACATTGCATTCGTCATGGTGAATTTCTATACATTAAGTAACAGTCATAGTTTTCGTCTTTTTTAATTAGCGATCTCATTTTAAATGTGAGAAATAATTATTAAACTGAAATGTACATTTATGTTGTTTGATTTTTATTTTTTTGAAAATTGTAAATCAATTGCATGTTGTTGTTTTTTTTTCATTTTATTTTAGGGGATTGGAGTGGGGGTGCAGCTGTAAGTTTGAGTATATTTTCCAAAAGGATTTACGTCGTTATTTTTGTTTAAATATCAATTTTAAAATGCAAAATGATGAGATATTAGACTACACATTTTTTCTTAAAACTTCATTTAAATTAATATATTTTGTTTAAAATAAGTAGCAACACCATGCAAGTTTTAGAGTTATTTGACAACTCACTATATACTTGTTTTTTTTTTACATTTATGAAGATTGTCTCAAATTTTGAGGGTTTTTTTCTGTGTTTAACATTTATTGACATGTTTCTTATCTGTGTTCATCTTGTCGAGTAAATGAAAAGTTTGATTAAATTTTTTTTTAAAAATCAGGATCATCTCTTTTATTTATTATTATTAATTTACAATGAAATTATGTATGCTTTTGATGCATAATGTACACTTCAAATTCATGCACCAGCAGATTTAAAGGAAAAATTCTCATTAGAAATAAGCAGTTAAGATAAAGAGATTATCCAATTAAAAATAGTTTGAAAAATATTTAAAACAAATTTTCAAGTATGTTATCAAAATAGGAAAAAGTATTATGAATATAGTTTGGTATTTTTAATAGTAAAAAAAAGAGGATATGACGTACTGGCAATTGCATCATCTCACTCAGGGTCTTTCCGTCAGAGTTCGGAAAAACAACCTCGAATGTATTAACATCACCTGATGTTAAAGGTTATGCTTTTCTTGTTTTTTTTTCAAATATAGGATAGAGGAAGTAAGAAGTCCCTTTTATAGTAAGTTTTATGTAATATCATAGCATTGAATAAAATTAAACTCCATATTCCACAGATAAAAGGTCTTCATGCATTTATTTCGAAGATCATGAAAAGGGGGGGTTGTTGCCATTGCGTCTAACTAATACATTCGAGGTCATTTGTCAGCTAGTCAGAAAGGCTCGAGAAGTTGCGATTGAACATAGTGGGGGTTCTTGTTCTTTTATTACCAGTCCCTGGTAGAGTTTTTTGATATTAGAACATACTGGGGTTTTCAAACACTTAAATTCATATGGTTACTGGTATCTGTTACATGAGAATACAGCGGGGTTGTTTGTTTAACACTCTGAGGTTACTAAGATGTCTAATATTTTCTATCAGAACATATTGTGGTTCTTGTCTAACACTTTGTGGGGTTAATGTTATCTTTTATCTATATAAGAACATAATGGGGTTGTTACACATTATGGGGTTAGTGTTGTCTATTATCTTTATAAGAGTACTTAGTGGGGCTGTTGTCCTAACACTTTATGGGGTTAGTGTTGTCTATTATCTTTATGAGAGTACATAGTGGGGTTGCTGTTCAAACACTTTATGGGGTTAGTGTTGTCTATTATCTTTATGAAAGTACATAGTGGGGTTGCTGTCCAAACACTTTATGGGGTTTATGTTGTCTTTATGAAAGTACATAGTGGGGTTGCTGTCCAAACACTTTATGGGGTTAGTGTTGTCTATTATCTTTATAAAAATACATAGTGGGGTTGCTGTCCAAACACTTTATGGGGTTAGTGTTGTCTATTATCTTTATGAGAGTACATAGTGGGGTTGCTGTTCAAACACTTTATGGGGTTAGTGTTGTGTATTATCTTTATGAGAGTACATAGTGGGGTTGCTGTCCAAACACTTTATGGGGTTAGTGTTGTCTATTATCTTTATGAGAGTACATAGTGGGGTTGTTGTCCAAACACTTTATGGGGTTAGTGTTGTCTATTATCTTTATGAGTGTACATAGTGGGGTTGCTGTCCAAACACTTTATGGGGTTAGTGTTGTCTATTATCTATATAAGAACATAGTGGGGTTGCTGTCCAAACACTTTATGGGGTTAGTGTTGTCTATTATCTTTATGCGAGTACATAGTGGGGTGGTTGTCCGAACTCTTTATGGGGTTAGTGTTGTCTATTATCTTTATGATAGTACATAGTGGGGTTGCTGTCCAAACACTTTATGGGGTTAGTGTTGTCTATTATCTTTATGAGAGTACATAGTGGGGTTGCTGTCCAAACACTTTATGGGGTTAGTGTTGTCTATTATCTTTATAAGAATACATAGTTGGGTTTTTGTCCAAACACTTAATGGGGTTAGTGTTGTCTATTATCTTTATAAGAGTACACACTGGGGTTGTTTGTCTTATAATGTCTGTTATTTCTATATAGCATAGTGGGGTTGTTTGTTTAACACTCTCTGGAATATTCTTGTCTATCATCTTTATGTGAAAACATGATGGGTTAATTTACTTTGATGCAACAGTTATCCTCAAATAAAAACATTTTTTTTGCATTGTTACTGCTAGGCAGTAGTTGAAAAAAAGTTATTGCAATATCCGTTCTAAGTTCTTCAGATAAACAGTAACAATTTTAAGTACTTATAATTAGTTGCCCGTAAAGTTGACTTGATATTAAATAATTTATTTTTAACCCCACAAATATAGATCTTTAACCCCACAAATATAGATCTTTAACCCCACAAATATAGACCTTTAACCCCACAATATACCATTTGTTTGAATTCCTAATGATACCTCTCAAGTCACCACTGTACTATTAATAACCCCACAAAGCAAAATTATAACCCCGCACCTTCCGTAAAATGCACAATGTACCTCTCAACTGTACAGACGGACGGACGGACAGACGTACAGACGGACGGAATTAACGATTACTATATACCCTCCCGCTTTTCAAGCGGGGGGTATAAATATGAGGGAAAAATTCCAGAGAGAGATGTTTTCACAACAAACAAACAAATTACTAAAAATAACATAAAACATTGTTCTCCCTTGAATCAGAACTGATTATATAAATATTCTAAAAACAATAATTATAAGATTTGAAAAGGTTGTGCATCTTAAAATTGACTAAGTTCTGCGGTTGAATTAGCTATAAAAGTTTACTACCTTTATTTTGCTACTCAAAACACCTTGATTAATTATTTTCAATCATACTGTTTTCTGAAATGTTCAGGTTTTTTCAATAATGGATACACATGTCATACATTTTCAGCTTCTCTGCAAATTGCATGAAAAAAAGCTTTTCAAATACTGTAACCATGGTAACCCTTTAAAATACCCGGTACTTGTGAATCCTACATTATTAGCTCATTTGAGCTTTTCTGGTTTCCTTATCGCATTATGTCTGTCATCCATCTGTTTGTCTGGAAAGTTTTTTTACATTTTTAACTTCTCTACAACCACTGGGTCAATTTTAACCAATTCACATAGAAATATGTACATCTGTATGTAAATCTGTAAATTTAACCTTGGTCATCACAGTCATATCTATTAAATGTGAAGAGACAAGGCATTTGTATTAAACATATGTATTAGTATTTACCTGTAACAATGGCGCATGATTTTTTTTACCCATGACCTTAAAGTTTGACATAATTGCAAAAAAATTACATTGCTTTAAATTTATCATTTTGGTAGAATTCATATTATACATGCATGTATATTTTTACCTATGATAAGACCTTCCTAAATAAATCATGACTCGGTGACCTTGACTGTAGCTTAACCTACTTTTCAAAAATGTTGCATTTGCTTATAACTTTTGATTGAGAAGAAATATGACTTTCACATTTGACATTTACAAATACTCATAAGAATTGAAGATGTTTCCCGGGATGCTATGATTTTTTACCCTATGATGTTGATGTTTTACCCAATTTTCAAAATATTTAACTCTCTTAAAAGATGATGAGGCTACTGATTTGACCCCCTATGGCAAAATGATGATACCAAAACCTTACTGCACATCTACATGACACCACCAACCATCTCTCAAGAGATGATGGCTGCTGAGTAAAATGTACAAGGAGTTCAGGGAAGAAGGGGCTTTTTGCATAAAAAACATCATTTTTGGACCCCCATTTCACCCCCCCCCGTTTCAAAATCAAAATTCCGAAACCTTACTGCACATTTACATGACACCACCAACCATCTCCCAAAAGATGATTAGGCTGCTAGTAAAATATAGAAGGAGTTCTTGGGAGAAGGGGCTTTTTGTATAAAAAAACGTCATTTTCCAATCCCCATTTGACCCCCCGGGGCAAAATCAAAATTCCGAAACCTTACTGCACATCTACATGACACCACTGTTACAACACACTTTGAAATTTCTTTTGGGACCAAGCTAACACACTTTGAAAAAAAATAAATTTCTTTTCAAAGTGCGTTAATATCGACCATATTAACGCACTTTGAAAAAATGTAAAGCTTGACAAATATTCTTACAAATAATCAGTATGATAAATAATTGATCCTGGTTGGCTAACTTTTTTTTATGATAAGGTCACTTCAGGCCATGAGATATTACCTTTATAAATATTCTAGGTTTTGATGAATGTAATAATGGGAAATGGGTCTTTTAGAAAAACAAGAGGCCTATGGGCCACATCGCACACCTGAGAAGCATTGACCATTCTGTTCTTTTACCAGATTTCCCCCTTTTAATATATATTGCGACCTCACCCTACCCCACTGATCATGATTTTGACATTTTGAAATCTACAATACCCCAGAATTAATTGACGTGTACATAAATTTCAGCTTTTCTGGCCCAGTGGTTCTTGAAAAGGAGATTTTTCCTATATATTTCTATGTAAAACTTTGATTCCCCATTGTGGCTGCGCCCTACCCCCAGGGGTCATGATTTGAACAATTTAGAATCTACACTACCCCATGATGCTTATAAGTTTCAGCTTTTCTGGACCAGTGGTTCTTGAAAAGGAGATTTTAAAAGATTTTTCCTATATATTTTCTATGTAAATCTTTGATTCCCTTTTGTGGCCCCGCCCTACCCCCAGGGGTCATGATTTCAATAATTTTGAATCTACACTACCCCACGATGCTTCCACATAAGTTTCAGCTTTTCTGGCCCAGTTGTTCTTGAGGAGAAGATTTTCAAAGAATTTTCCTATATATTTTCCATGTAACTTTGATTCCCCATTGTGGCCCCGCCCTACCCCCAGGGGTCATGAGTTGAACAATTTAGAATCTACACTACCCCAGGATGCTTCCACATAAGTTTAAGATTTTCTGGCCCAGTGGTTCTTGAGAAGAAGATTTTCAAAGATTTTTCCTATATATTTTCTATGTAAAACTTTGATTCCCTTTTGTGGCCCTGCCCTACCCCCTGGGGTCATGATTTGAACAATTTAGAATCTACACTACTCCAGGATGCTCCCACATAAGTTTCAGCTTTT